GCACAGTAACCCTCTACCTTGAGTGTTTCTTGGCCTTGCATTAGGTGATTATTTGTTGAAAAAAAGTTACTAAATATTTTTGAAAGTAAATAAGTTATTTATAGTTTCTTGGTGATGAATAAGAAGTGTCTACTTTTTGGATGAATAAAGTGTATTTTCTGTTCAAACTTACTAGAAGCAAGAATAAGTTTATCATGGCCGTATGTTCAACTAAAAAATATTTTATTTACCCTTCTCTCCCTCAAAGAAAGAAAATGAAACAGATTTGAAATGAAGGGGCTTTGGAAGATTTTTCTAGATGGTGAAGAAAGTTGATGGAGAATTTTATATTCTTATAAGGTGCTTAACTGGAAATGAGATTTTTTTTTTTTTTTGAATCAGAATGCAGAGATGGTGTTAAATTGTGAGTAGTTAATGCATTTTCATTATTGACTTAGAAAGCATTTTTCAAAGTCTGAGTGCTCTTTGCCAAAGATGTGACAGTGCAGTTACAGTTCTTTGAAGAAGTACAAATTAGAGGATAAATATGTAAATAAAAAAAAAGTGGGTCAAGATAATAAAGTAGCAACTCCTTTAGGCTGTTTGTAAAAGAACAAGAATTTTTCATTTTTTTTTTCATTTGCTTTGCTCTGAGCAAACAATGAATGCTTTCCTTATATTTTTTTTTTTGCAAACCCAATCTGCTCCTAAGCATAGAATTAACAAAATGAGTGGCTGTAGGGTTAGTACCAAATTTTTCCTGCTCTCGTAAATTATGAACTTTTTATCACAATTTGTAACAACTCAGAAAATAAAAGTAATTAATTTTTGTATTACTACTTCAGAAAAAAAAAGAAACATGAATCAAGTCATCCTGACTTCTTGTGTTGAAAACACTAGTTCTTGTTCTATCATCAAAGTTAAGTAAGGTTGCACTTGGTTAGTACTTAGATAAGGAAACTGGGTACTATCAGCAACCTCCTACAATCTGAAATATGTTTTAGCTTTAAAGGGTTGATAAGCCATAAAAAACAAATCAATCAGCGCTAGTGTAATCATTATTACTCCAAATGTATATTGAGCTTAACTTTTATATGCCATGTTTCTTCAGGATCATAGCTTTACACAATTTTTTTGTCTTTTGTTGCTCTTAAAAAATTTTGTCTTTTTGTTATCTCTCCTAAACTCTGTTTTGCTATCTATTTACACAAATCATTAGGCAGGTTATACACTGTTTTGTTCTCTCTTACAGTCAATATGCCCTGTGAGTGTCAAATTTTTCAAGCCTTCTTTCCTCATTATGTACCTTAGAAATGTCAACTATTGCTTTCTGATGCTAATTGTCCTTTTTGTTTCTATTTTCTCTAAAACTTTGGTTGAATTATGCCAAAAGCATCAAATTTTATTTAATCACCATGCGAATCTTGGTCAGTATTTAGATGGGGTCTGCTTGTGGAATACTTGGTACTGTAAGCATTGAGAGAGCAAAACCTGACAAAAAAAAAATTAAAAAGAAACAAAATTCCAAATTTGGAAAATGGGGAGTTCCTAAAAGATGGTGTTGTAGCAATATGAGTCAGCTGAGGTCTTGTTAAATTGAAAACAATGGGACCTGCCACAAAACTGGATAGAGAACATTGACCTTTGACTGATGGTTATCAATAAATAAAGTCGACTTCAAAGTATAGAGCAAGAGGCTCAGACAGAGAGAAAGTGACGGAAGAAAGATAAATTACTTTTTTAAACAAAGATGACAAGACAAAGGAAACTGTTATCTATAAAACTGACCATCCCCCAAAAGGTACACAGTAGGAATGAAATGGGCCTTGGAAAATGGGCAGGCAGACTGCTACTGGACTGTGAACATCTCTCTCATCTCTACTTCATTCCCAGCAGAGTAGGTTACAACCCAAGAATAAAATCTGGTTTACTTCCAAAAATTGTTTTTTGCTTATGGGTAACAATATGGCTGATGGGTCATTTTAAAGCCACAAGCATTTGACTGGAAGAAACTGTACTCTGTCAACAGACCTGGTGTCTGGTCTGAGCTGTAATGCAACAGTGTTATGTACAATGACAGATTATTGCTTCAGATATTATTTTGCATCACTGTTGACTGCATGGAGATACCGTGTCTACAAATGAGATACTGCAGCCATTGGTTGTTCTTGCAACTGTGAGTTGTACTAAATCACTTTGAATGCAATTGAAAAATATTATGATTACTGAATCTAATCATTTATAAATAGAATATAAGTAGAAGACAAACTGAGGAGAAGAAATCTACTTTGACCAAGGCAAATTAGAAAATTGACTTGTAAAATACTGTTGTATAGAATGTTTGAATAAGGAAATTTACCTACCTTGAAGATCACCATTTGAAATCCTGATCACAGACACAAACTAGTAGTGTCAGTGGGAAATATGCAACAATAATAGGATTAGGTCTTCTGCCATTGCTATCATAAAGACTAAAGTTAGAGCTGGGCACTTTGGCACTTTGACGCAGTGTTATGGTTTGTAAGCTAGTCTAGCTAAATCAATTATGACTGAATAGTGAGTTCGATTCTCACTGGGTGCCCCATATTTTTGGTCTTGTACAACACCTAAGATACACTTTGAAAATCCCCATAAAGACTAAAGTTATATCTCTGGCATGTTGGCTTTCATTCCAATGATGAAGATTAATTAAATAACCAGAAATATGCATCCTATTATTGGTTCTACCTAAAAAGGTGCAATGTATGCAGTGGTGGCATTCTAATGGTTTGTACAAACTGATTCTTAAATTTATAAAAGCTTAGCAAGCCAGTTGTTGGGTTATCTGAAATAATCTTATATATTAATGGTCTCGGTAAAATGTTAATTACACTATGCTCATGTGCACCTTGTAAAATTCTAATAGACACATACTCCCCTATCAGTAATTCTCATAATATAAATAATAAATTCATGAATTAATTAATATTGTGAACCAGATTCTTGGAATATGGAAGATGCTGTAGTTCTCTAGAAAAATGCTAAAGAGAATTTACTGGACTTTTATAAGGCATTTTGCCATGAGATCTCTGTTAATGCTTTTTATGATTATGTTGAAAACACCACGAGAAATTACAATAAACATGTCAAAACTAAAAACTATCTGTAGATTTAAAAACATAAGTAATTCCATTGCTGTAAGTTCTGTGGAGATTGAAAAAGGGTTTTCTGGGATGAACATAATTTATTCTAACAAGAGAAATCTTCTTGAAGTTAAAAATGTTATAAATCTTGTAGTTATAAATTTGATTTCATTGGATCTTTGGGATTGCAGCAATTTAGTTTGGATGTAGCTAAGAAATCATGAAACAGCTGATGACACTGGAGTCAAAAAGCATCATACTTCTGGGCAGAAATATGATAAGAACAGAATTTCAATCTGGAAATATCTTAATAAAGTAAATGTTTTCTGTTAAATTATCAAAATACATTTTTAATACTATAAAGTGAATTGTTTTGATTCTCAAATTGAAAAGATGAGCAGAACAGGTAACTAAATATTACCTGTCTTTATAGAACTGGTTCCTGGAAATTTTATTGAATATAGCTGGACACTCGTATTCGGAGATACCTGTCTACTAGGGCAGATAGCCGATCCCTGTTGTAGACACTTGCTCAGGCACATTTGTGTTTATTCAACACACACAGAGCCCACCTGTGGTTTATACTGCAACTATGATGAGCAGACCTTAGTTACAGTTTATGGGAAAGAGCGTGTTATCTAGTGTGAGCAACAATTTGAACAAGGTCGTCATGCTGAAGCACTCAGCCATGATGACTTGTGACTTCGTGCCAGCACAGCTATCAATAGCACCCAAGGGTTCTGTCTACCCAATTTCATTCACAAGGCCTGGGTCAACCTGTGGTATGGTTTTTAAGCACTTTCTTTTTTTAACTATGTATATATATATATATATATATATATGTGTATACATACATGTATATATATATATATATATATATATATATATATATATATATATATATATATATATATATATATATATATATATATATATAGCCTGAACATTACATTGAATATATACATCAGAGGGCCGAAGACCATATTCAATATATATGAAGTACAGCCACACACCAAATTAGAGATAGCTACCTAAAAAGATGTACCTCCTCTTTTGATGAGTTGCAACAACTTCATGTCATGATATGGAATCTAAAAGGTTCTGGTGTTGTTGTATATATATTTCTATCCAGGACCATTCCAGGGCTGTACATAACTGAATTGTGATTATTAGACATGGCTGCAGGGAATTTAATAAGATCTGCAACACATCCTATACTTACTCAATAGGCTTTAAATCGGGTGAGAATATTGGCTAATGGAGTATCTGGAAGTCAGCCAACTATTCTTGTTGTGTAACCTGTGCAGAAAGGTGTTTGTATTATTTTGTTAAAAAAAAAAAAACTATCCCCACTGGGAAACATGGTGAGCATAAAGGTGTGTAAATGTCTGTATTACACCTATCCTAACCAACACCTGCCTCTGAATTACAAGTGTACACTAATCTAGACCATTACAGTGTTTTCATCAGCTTGAAATACAAGAGGCTGAATCTGAGATATCATGTATTCTTCTCTAAACCTGAATTTAGTCATCAACCCCAAAGAGCTTGAAATATAACTTGTGTGACCAAGTATCAATCTTCCATTGACCAATAATAAGATTTTTGTTCTCTTACAATAGTGTAGCCATGATATCAGTAATGTTACCTTTGTTGGTTGATGAGTATAAAACACCATGAAATGCACTGTACACTTAATGAAATCTTATTTTGTGTGAAACAAACTCATTTTTCATAAATAGTATTTTCTCTTACCTTTTCTTTTTTTCAAAATCAGTTTTGCATTTTTTAGTTAGCATGCAACTGTATTTCCAATTATGTCTATTTTCTGTCAAATATACATTCATTTGTATGTAAGGATTTGGATGAGTGCAGGTAAACTAGAAAATGTTTTCTTACCATCAGGCTTAACAGCTTTGAACCAAACGGCTATCATCATGTTCTCAATCATCTCAACAGCATTGAGTGGCAGTTTTACAAATGCAGTGCCATTGAATTCAGGAACATTCAAAGGCTGTAACAGTTCTGAAACACAAAAATCAACAGTTTGCATTTAGAAATATAACTTTTATTTCCCGTAGAATACAATGCATGATCAAAGCCCTTTCTCTTTGTGAGGAAATGCTCCAAGAGGCTTCAAGCCAGAGTGAGTGTAGCAACAAGCAAGCTGTCCTGAAATTTAACTAACACATCCAAGATTCTGGACCTTAACTCAGCCATAGAAATTTGATGAACAGATTTACACTAATATATACTGAAGTATTGTGTCTGATGCATATTACTGTCCGAGGTATATTAGTAATTTTCTGATATGTAATTTTAAGCTTTTTATAATTTACATTACTAAGTTTTTACATTATTTACATCATTTGGACTGTTGTCCTCATCTTTATTTCCATATTCACAGTGTTTCAGCTGTTGTACATGCCATCCTTCTTCAGGTAATATATATTGGAATTTCAAACCGAACCCTTTATTTAGTCCATGGGAGTAGACTGTACTAATTCCACATGCCATGCCTTTTGGATATCTCAGTTTCAGGTAATTCCTATTGGTAACTCAACTCTCCAAGTTTTTGTTCTCTCTCTGCTGTGGCCAGGTATTGAAATCACAACACTTTAGGTCAAGGCACTCTTTGGATTACTCAACCAATGCTTTTATTCATTGCCAAATATCCTTAGGATCAATGGTCAAAACACTATGAATATAGCAATAAAGATCAGGAGAACAGCCCAAATGATGCGAACAGTGTAAAGAGTTACAATATATCATCTCAGAAATATAAACAGATAATCTATGAGGTGCTTTCAAAAAGTATTCAATATTATTTTTCCCACCAAAACTAATGCAGTGTGGGCAAAGTTCTTTTGGTGAAACCACCCTTCTTGCACATGCTTGAAGTATTTTGCACTGGTAGGCTGCATCACTTCCCAACTGTTATGCCTAGAATACAAACGTGTAGTGCATGCTCATCATATTTTTGCTTTCACACAAGATGATTGAGTGCATCAAGTAGAGATATTGCATCAAGTTTTGCCAAAAGCTTGGTGATACCCAATCTCAAAGCATCCAGAAGGTTCAGCAGGCATTTTGCAATGATACCATAGGCAAAACTCAGACCAAGGAGTGGTACAACTGCTTTAAACATGGCCACACCTCAGTGGAGAGTGATCATGCTTATGTGTAACAATCCAGGAAATCTCTCATACAGTGAAAATAAGCACAGGATCAGTGCATTCCAGTTTAATGGAGGATTTGTGCATGCAAAGAGTGTCGGCAAAGTGTGCCTGTTCATTTCATCCGCACAAGCTTTCTTGATCAAGAAAAACACACCACTTGTTCAGCACTGATTTTTGGCTCTTCCACAATTTGAAAACCATGCTGAAAGTGAAGCAATTTTAGTTATGAGAGAAAATTAGGAGAAAAGCAATTGTGGATTTCCAACAATCAGTTATGTGACATGTGTGATACACGCTTAGGCGATCACGTATCGAAAGATACATGACTGACAAGGCAGATTTTTTCCCACAGTGCCATTTCTTTCTGCAGTAGACCAGTTGCCATCCAAGGCTATAGAACTTGGTGTTTACTACTATTTACCCATAGCTGGGGGGAGAAGAGGAGGATTCATACCTTTCCCAAAAGTATTAGCATGTAAGTGAATGTAATGGATTTGACTGGAATTTGAACTCGGCTCACCAATTCCTTAATCCAAGCTGCTATCCATTACTCCATTGTGCCTCCATAGATTTCCATAGCATCTCATTAAGAGCATTCCAGAAGAGACATGGCACATAGAAGATCTTGTTTCATCTTATAGAGGTACTTTGATATATTTTATTAAAGATACATTTTATAAAACAAAACACCAATATTCTGATGTCATTCCTTCTTCTATATTTGTTGTCTTTTCAAGACATTGGCAATAGTGGTTCATCATGTTCTGTATAGCTCTTAAATAACTTTTCTCTTTTTTGCCATTTCTCTCAGACTGTGCTCCTTGCTAAAAGGACTTTTTCCCAGTGGTCCCGCCACTGGAAAAAAGTGTTAACTCCCAAAGGGAATATTTTAAAAGTGATTAAATAAATTTTGTAAAATGTAAAAAATTGATTTTTTTTATGCCCAAGGGTTGGATATTTTTGGAATGAACTTCATATTTTTCTTGATATTTCTGGGTTTTTTTTCTTTTTCACTAAGAAAAATATTTTTTTCAGAAAAGCATACACCATAAATTCATTATTTTTCATTAATCTTCATCTTTACAAATCTACTCATACTTTTGGTTCTTGTTTTTATTTCACTTTCTTTTCTGGAATTTTTAAACCAATTTCAAATAATTCTTCATAGATTTATTTTGATTTCTGCTTCTGATAAAATGTTGGGAACTTCATTTATGTATTTTGTGGATAAAGACATTTACAAAAGCTTTTAGCAAGAAGAACAGTCTGAGAGAGATGGCAAAAAGAGAAAAGTTATTTAAGAGCTATACAGAACATAATGAGCCACTATTGCCAATTTCCTGAAAAGACAAGAGACATAGAAGAAGGAATGAAATCAGAATATTGGTGTTTTGTTTTATAAAATGTATCTTTAATAAAATATATCAAAGTACCTCTATAAGATGAAACAAGATCTTCTATGTGCCATGTCTCTTCAAGATGGAAGGATGATCATAGCTCTCCACAACCCTTTGTAGCTTTTACCAAATTTTGTCTTTTTGCTAACTCTCCTAATCCTGGTTCTGCCATCAATTTACACAAGGTTGTTAGGTAGGTTATGCACTGTTTTCCTTGCCTTCAATATGTTCTGAGAGTGTCAAATTTTTCAAACCTTCTTTCCTCATTATGGTCCTAGAAATTTTGACTGTCTCATTCTGATTTATTTAAATGTTACATTTGCAGTGATGTAATTGTGAATGCAAAATGCTTATGAAAATATCTCATGTTTAGAAAAGTACATACGTTTAAAATTTACACTATCTACATTATTCAGGCTGTTGTCCTATTCATGATGTTTCGGCCATTGTACACTCCAGCCCTCTTCAGGTAATATACATTGGAATTTTGAATTGAACACTTTATTTCGTCCACAATGATAGATTCCAACATATATCACCTGAAGAAGGCCAGAGCGCACAACAACCGAAATGTTGTGAATATGACAATAAAGATGAGGTTAAAAGTCTAAACAATGTAAATAGGGTAAATAGTTACAATACCTCACCTCAGAAATATAGACAGATTCTAAAATTTAAGAACAGAATTTTTTTAAAACATTTATGGAACAAATTATTCAATGCAAAAATTAGAAAAATCTTAGAAGTGAACAGGAGAAAAATATTTTTATTGATTAGTTTCAATCTAGCTTAATTAGGAATTATGTATTGGCACTTTTAAGGCCCAAATTTGGTTGTGTGTATCTGAGAGGATACCAAAAAGCAGCCGTTGTGAAGCTTTTGCAGGCAGAAGACAGCAAGATTAATAAAAAAAAACAAAGAACAAAGCTTTTTAATTAGTAAATCAAGGAGAACAATAACAAAGTAATTACATTTTAGATGATCTTTCTACATCTGCCAACTTTAAGTGATATAAAAAATATGTGTGAAAATAAGGAGGACATTCAAGAAACAATTATCTGACGTGTGAAATAAGAAGTGTTTAATATAAATGTTAAGGAAAATTTGGGATAATTATTGTTTGCAAAAGACTAATGAAATTAGAAGGCTGAAAAAAGAACAAAAAGTCTTCTAATGAAATCAAAATGAAATATTGTATACAAAATGATTAACCCAGGCGTATAATTTAGTAAGAAATATTGAAGAAAAAAACTGACAATAATGAGTCATCCATGCTTTTTAAAATTATTATTTACACTTATAATATATATATATATATATATATATATATATTTAATTGAAATAAATTTATTACTGACAATGAATTTTTGAGGTTTTTTCTAATTATTAATATAATTTGCTCTGTATCATACACTGAGCTCTCATATGGACTAAATGTCTTCTTCAGAATAATCCCTACAAATCACAATTTGGTATTTTATCTATTTATCTATGCATCTCTCTCTCTCTCTCTCTCTCTATATATATATATATATATATATATATATATACACACACACACGCACACAGAAGGTATATAGTAACTATTATACCAATATTATATTGATATGTTTATGTAATCAATACAATTTGTGTATACATTTTGTTTTTTCATTACTCTATAATTATTTTGTTTGCTTTCTTCTGTATATATATATATATATACAGATTTTTTACAGTGAACTAAAAAATATAAAACAGACACTTATTAATAATAGCTTTCCAAACTATATAGTTGAACAAATAAGATGCTTTCTTAGAAATCTCAATACTAAGCAAATAATACATAATACTGCTTCTACTGATCTCAAACATATTAATCTCCTATATCGTAATCAAATGCATACTAATTATAAACAAGATGAAAATATACTAAAAAATTTAGTAAATACTAATATATCAACAACAGATCCCAGCAAAAAAATTAAATTAATCATATACTACACTAAATCTAGTATATCCAACTTAATTCTTCACAATGATTCTTCTCCCCCGGTTAGCGATTTGCAAAAAACCAACATAGTTTATAAATTCAAGTGCCCTTTGGGAAATTGTATCTCCAACGAATTAAATAATATTTATGTTGGTCACACCACAAACTCAATTTCACAACGCTTGACACTACATTTGAATGATAACTCTAACATTTTTAAGCATTTAAAACAACATGCCTGTCCGCACACACAATTCCGTAAAATACTTGTTGAAAACACAATTATACTTCGACATGAAAACAATAAACAAAAGCTAAAAATCCTTAACATCAAACAGTTGAAATCCAAAATAAAAAAAATCAACTATGGAATCTCTACAAATATCCTTAAATGTCTATAATTGGTAACAGAAGCCACTGGTTTATACCAACAGCTTCCCATACTTCATACTTCTCCAATTCACTCTCGCGTGGTCA